AACGACAGGAATAATATTAATCACACTGAACGACAGCGTGTTGGCATGAACGACAATGGCAGTTATTCCGAACAACAGGAATAATTTTCGACACTGAACGACAGCGTCTTTAGACACGAACGACAGTGTCTATTATCTGAACGACAGATAAAAAGCCTAGGTATAAAACCCATATTGTAATAAGTAATTAATTGCTTAGTAAAGAATAAACAAAATATATACCAATAAATAATAATTAAATAAAATGTAAATAAAGGTAAATTAATTTGCCCGTGAGCACAGACTCACCTAATTTATAGAACTGCAAGCACACTCACAATAACTATAATACGATTTACCGTTAAGTATCTAATTCTGAACGAAAGACAAAACATCCATATTCGGCCACGCACTCTGGAAAAGTAAAAAGAAGTATATTTTTCGAAAGCGGGCATCATCGATTGGACAACCAGATGTTTTACCAATGGTGCGTTCTATCCGTCGTTTCAGAATCAGGTACCTAGTTGGTAGGAATGAGAGTAAAAAAAGATATTTTTACAAAAGTAATAATTTTATTTCTAAAAGTAAATGAAATTAAACATGTATATTTATTCAAAAAAGAAGTAAAACAAACTAAATGCAATTTTTACATATTACACTTGAGCAATACAAACAGGTATTTTACAGGCTGAAAATCGATTGCTAGTTTTCCTGTCTTTGTTTGGAGGGCATATGCGACACCTGGGTCGTTTTGATCTCTGCGGTATTTCAGCAGGCATAGGAGGTTCACAAAAGACAATTTTAAAATATCAGCCGCATACATTCGGATTTTACAAGGTACATTCGTATTGTACATTTTAGCCGTCATATGAGGAGTGTACAATTGCTTTCCTAGTTCCTTCAGGTAGCTGGCTCGAGAAATATATTTTCCTCCTGAAGCAAATTGGTATAAAACACGACCGTTAACCCCAGAAATATCTAAAATTGTATGAAAGAGGACCATGGGCCAACGCCTAGTTGTTCTTGACGTTGAGTATGTCGCACATTTTTCATCTAATGCGTCTACTCCGGCTTTTGTTTGATTATAAAATAAAATAATCACTGGTTTCTTGCTATCATCATCAACGCAAGCAGTGTGGTGCATTGTTGATAATAGTAGGGGAAGATGGCGATGCTAAGAGAAAAATCTAAATTAACTATGAAAATATTTATTTTAAACCTTAAGTACTGACGTGCAATGTTTCAGAACATAGATACTGATGTGTCGTATCATGGACGCAATACTATGTGAGCATTTTTTGAAAAAAAAATAATACCCAATAAAAAATAACTAAATAGATTTAGTACATCTGTAGAGGTAGAAAACATTCTATAAACAGCAAAAAAATTTAACAATATATTCATAAAAAAATTATTATCTGACAGTACCAAAAAAATAAAGGAACAAAGCATTGTTTAAACTTTAGCGAAACTAAAACAAAAAGGAAACATATTTTCAATTCTTTATATTTAAGATATCATGAACACTTTAGTGGATGGAATAAAATACAAAAAATCAAACAAAAACATTTCTAAATGGGGTAGTACATGTAACGAAAGTAGTATACTGTCATAGATCTTCCGCACATCGAGCACATATTTTCTTAGCACACTGAAGGCATATCGGCTTGTGACATATATTGCACGTAAATTTAGTCATTCTATAATACGCTTTCCTGCTAGGACAAATAGAACATATTTTTCTTTGATTAAATCTGTGTTGTATTTTGTTTTCCTCGGCAAATTGAAAAGCTAATTTTCGCACTTGAACTGAAGTCATTCCAAGACCATGGCTATTGCATTCTGTGATATATTGAACGAATTCTGCAGTCTGTTGAGGTGTAAAAGTTTGATTAAATAGACCTGCATGATATGGAAGTTCTTCCCCTGTAAGTTGCTTTAATCGGTTTGAAAAATATATAATAGTTATGTAGCTAAATTATTTTTCTGTAACTTATCTACAAATATAAGTAAATTATATAGTAATCCTATGACTAAGAAAATTTAGTATGAAATTCAAAGAAATAAACACAAAGAAAAGTATTTTATACTAAAATAATTCTGAGGTAAAAAAAAACTAAGAGGGAAAGAACTATCCAGAAAATGTTTTTTAAGTTTATTTTTAAATGCAGCACTCTGAAGGTTCATCATTTCTGCTGGTAAACAGTTGTAAAGCTTGGAAATATTAAATGAGAAACATCTAGTGAACAATGCTGTTTTGTGAGGTGGTGGAGTAATAAGTTCCTTAAATCTAAGGTTTAAGTTGTGCACATCCGTTCTGAATTTTATTTTATTCACCAAGTATGGAGGACACTTCTTAGAAATAACTCCATGAAATAAAACCAATGAATGCATCTTACGTCTGTTTTCCATATTCAACCACTTAGCTTCTTTTAACTTATGCGAAATGGGATCATATTTTCTTATACCATA